ATAAAACAAAGGAGAAAGAAAATAAGACTAACCTTTGTGTGGGGAAATTTTTGGGATGTATGGGGTATTTATAGGAGAGAGGGTAGTAGCGTAAGTAGGGATATTGGGCCTCATTAAATTAATGGGTCAATTAAGAAAGTAAACTGGGTTTGGTTTGTTTGTTGGACATAAATTATAGAAGGAAGGTTCATAAAAAGTTCTTTGTAATAAAATCGTTTATCAACCCCAAAAATAATTTGAAACTTTTGAAATTAAATTTCAGAAAAATACAAGTAAATATTATAAATAATATATAATTTCATTTATAATATATTTTAAAATATGGGGGATTACAGGTAGGCTTGAGTTAATGAAATCGGTATTAGGATTAAACTGGTAAATTGGCCGTTTAAAGGAAAATTGGTTGATTTCACCCACCCAATTGGACTCCCGGAGGTTATTAGGGACCATGGTAAACTTTTCGACAATTTTTACTTCCGGGCGAAAAAAAGTCAAAAAAATTCCAAAATTGAAATCCACGCTTTTTGAGAAATTTGGGATGTATCGAGGCGCGGTGTCGAAAAGTTTTGAGATTTAAGAGGATACATCTCGGGGTCATATAATGTCGTTTGGAACCATATATGATCATTATATGTTGTCATAAATGTTCGTAGTAGGCTTGATCTGAGTTATTTTAATCGGTGCAAGTTAGTTGTAAACCGGTAAATTGGTCGTTTAAAGGCAAATAGAATGGTTCTACCCACCCAATTGGACTCCCAGAGGCTATTTGGGATCGTGGTAAACATTTCAGCAATTTTTATTTCCGGACGGAGAAAAGTAAAAAAAATTCCAAAATTAAAGGTTAATATCCACGCTTTTTAAGAAATTTTGGAGGTTTCGGGGCCCGGTGTCGAAAAGCCTTGAGATTTTAGGTGATACATCTCGTGGTCATATAATGCTGTTTGGAACCATATATGATCATTATTATTTGTCTTAAATGTTTGTGGTAGGCTTGAGTTAATGAAATCGGCGCAAGTTGTAAACTGGTAAATTGGCCGTTTAAAGGTAAGTTGGATGGTTCCACGGTCCCACACACCCAATTGGACTCACAGAGGGTATTAGAGACCATGATAAACATTTCGGCAATTTTTTTTTTCCAGGCGAAAAAAGTCAAAAAATTCAAAAATTGAAGGCTATATCCACGCTTTTTGAGAATTTTTGGAGTTTTCGGGGTCCGGTGTCTAAAAGTCTTGAAATTCTAGGGAATACATCTCGGGGTCATATAATGTCGTTTGGAACCACATATGATCATTTTTTGTTGTCATAAATGTTCGTGGTAGGCTTGAATTAATGAAATCGGTGTAAGAAATTCGGGTTTTGACGAGTTAAAATGGGTTTGGGTCAATTTCGGTTCAAGTCGGGTTCGCTTCAGGTTAATAATTTACGGCTTACATTCGGGTCGGGTCATCTCCAGGTCAATTCATGTTCGGGTTCGTGTCTGACATACTCGGGTCTAGGGTTGGTTTCAGGTCGGGTTTGGGTCGCCATTTTTTCGAGTTCAGATGGGTCAGTTTATAATCAGATTTGAGTCGGTATTTCGGGTTGGGTCAACTTTTAACAGTTTCTAGTTAAATTATACAATCAACAGGATTTTTATGTATGTTAGATATTAGAACAAATATTCTCACAAATTGTATTCATGAGATCAGAACTTATATTCTCACAAATTGTATTAATGTATTTCCCTTTGATCCTTCATTCAAATGCTGCACACGCGTATACGAAATGATAATGCACGATTGCATGTATTAATGCCGCACACCGCAACCCCAAATGCTTTATGTTCCCAAGAAAACTAAGGTCACTCGTTTCAAGCTTATTGGACCACACTACTTACACTAACTAGGTCAAAACCCACCAAATCTAACCTAAACATCGTCTCAATTTGATGGTTGAGGCTTAAAAATATGTTTTATACTCCATCATGCCATTTGGAAGTGGGAGTTTGATGAGATTTCAACCCGTGACCTTTGTATGATGGCTCTGATATCATGTTAGAGGATTAACTCAACCAAAACCTTAAACTGATGGTTGAGGTCCAAAAATATATTTATAGACCGGTTATACATAGCATTAGTTTTCTTGTTTTCTTTTGATAAAGTATCAATATTTAACCTAACTTAAAGATAAGTCGTATTAATTTATATAATAAGATAACATAAAACATTCATAATTTAGGTTGTTACAATTTTGTGCTCATACGTATGTTGGTATGTACATATATCAAGACGTATATTAGAAGCGCTAGTGCTGGTGTGCTTAGCTTATTATTACCTAGTAGAGGATCCTTAGTATTTTGTGGCTTCGTTCCGGACTCCCGGGTACGAGTCACCGGCTAGTGTTTGTAGTGTGCAAAATCGTATCATAACACGGTTGTTTAAGAGCACCATTGCACGGGTTCTACGTAACCTACGTCGGTAATGATATGTTGTTACTTGCCAAAGTCAAGAGTAAGATTGGGAATTTCCACATTTTGCAAGAAAGTTCCTGATCTTTCAATAATAGAAATAGCACAACTGTACTCTTGTATTAGTCAAGGAAACAGCCATTTCCTCCTTGGAAGTAGCAAATTTAACTTAATCAACTCATCAAGGACATATTTCTTAGCTTGTGGCATAATTTATACGTTTTATTAGCATAACTTCATCATTTTTTCTCACAAACATAATTTAGTTAGCATACAAAGTTTATTATCTTATGATCAAAATTCATAGCCAATTATATGGTACATATTTTTTAATCAAACAGTACAACTTCTTAGATGATTAGACAAATGACGAGAATCGATCACACGATTAAATGTTTATTAGAGATCATATATTAACTAATTTAAGCCGGTAAGCCCCCAACAACAAGCAAAGTGACATAAACCTTGTTGGCTAATTAACCTTTTTTGCTATTATATTGCTGAGCTTTTAATAACGTGGTCAAACAAATAAAAAGTTTTGGTAACTGGACTTTTTAGTTGGCTTAAAATCCAAATTTAAGCTAGAATGATGAAGTAAGTTGCTTGCTTTCGTTTACTTTTAGGTTATGTTTGTCTAAAGTTGACAATTTGGTACATATATATACAATGGACCAACATTTAATAATTAGCACGAATTCTTTCTTTCTTACTTTTCTCAAATTTGAGAAAATAGTTAGCAGATCATTTTCAGTAGTTCAATCTATGCATTAATTCCAATTAGTTGCCATTATATAAAATGGACCAACATATAGGTCATATGTATTACTGTTGCATTTTCTGGTCCCTTCTTTACATACGTGTTACTTTTTCTTTCCTTCCTATTTTTCCTATTTCCACTTATCTTGGCTTTATATTCAATTTCCAAGATACTAAAAATGAAAATCTGAATATTTTATATAATCAAAACATATTATAATTAATAAAGTAATATAATAGTCAGCAAGAATAGGCGATAAAAGGACAAAAATTATAAGTAAATTAAAATTATTTAGACCAATTGATTATAATAAGCCATATACATTTATCTCATTAGTTTTATATCATATGATAAGGACTAAAATGTAGCTATATATGCTCCAAAATGTCCGTTAGTGTCAATTTTTGTTTAGGTTGTTTGGCTATAATAAGTACTCCGTATATGTTGTTTGTAATAGGAATGACTCATCGATCATGTGGTAGTTTTTGGGGAGAAAGTTAATACCCATCGTCTTATAAGATTTGTTATTTTGTCTTTGTCCTTGAATAATTATGCACTACTTACGCACATATACTTATCGAAGTAATTAATTAGTATTACGGAGTAGTATACATTATAAAAAAAACATGTTTTTTTTTTTTAATTTTATTTAAGAAGCTACACATGTGTTATTATAATAAAAATCTCCTTCGTTTCATGGTAAAATTATTATTCCGTATAAGTCATTATAAGTTTATTTTTGTACGAGTAATATTTTGCAATTTTTGTCAATATAGGATTAATAATTACACAGCATATCCGATTTGTAGAGCTATAGAAATCTTGTAATATGATGTTAGAAAATTGAAGTTCACAAGCAATTAATAATCGATCATTTATGATTATTGGATGGTATAACTGTTTTTAAAAATGTGTGGGAGATATGGAGTATTGGATTGGGACTCTATGTTTTAATGTTCCATTTTACATTTCATCCTATTAGTCTTTTCTTTGTTTAAATGTCTCATCTATAATAATGCATTCAATTTTGTAACAAGTTGATGTGATAAATTAAGAAATGTATGCTGAAAAATAACCATAGGGTAAAAAAAATTAACTAGAGGCCAAGGTTTCTCAAGCTAAAGTAAAGTCGAGCGAGTCCCACTAAACTGTATTTTATAAAAACTTCGTTATTATGTGGTGTTTTAATCTACTTTTACTACTCCAATACTCCGTCTATGACATTGTAATATATAGCTCTAAGAATGTCGATTAGAGAATCTAGAGAGGATTATTATGGCTTGCTTGAGCACTTAAAAACTACAAAGTATTTATTAAGCATTATATAACACACTTCCTTACGACTTTCAATTATATATGTTTATCACTTTGACCTCTACTTATTACTGTCTATCTTTAATGCACACACCGTATATAATAGTAAGTCGTGCAATTCTCTCACAAGTCACAATCTTAGTAATAACGACGCTATAAGAAATAATTAAAAGTCTAGAATTATAATTATTACGGAAAAAAATAATAATTGAAAAATAATTGTTTGCACACCCTTAAGCTAAAAAAACGAAAATAGTTGTACTTGATAATTTGGCTTGTCTAAGAACTGTAGAGGTGTCATATATCTCATAACAAGCCAGCCAACCAATCCGATCTTGTCTCTTAAACCGACCAACCAAATTAGACATTTTCTCCACAATTATTAATTTTTCACATCCAATTATTGATTTATAATCCCAAGTTGTTGAAATCAAGAAATAATGTAGTGGGCCGATGTTAGTAGTTAAAAAGCGGAAAAAAATAATAATAATGTACTCACTAGTAAAAATATTAATTAATGACATAATTAATTAATTACATTGAATGATTTAATTAATCATAGCTAGTAATTAACAATAATAACCTATGATAATACATACCTAATACCACCATTAGAGGAAAAAGACGAAGAAGACGAAGACGACGAAGGATGATTAATAGTATGATTAGTGGGAGTAGACATGAGATTAACAACGAGATCAGTGAAAGCTCCAACAATGTACTTGTGAGTGTTCTTAGGATTCAAAGACAAGTAACTCAAAAGCAACTCTTGTAAATATTCCCAAACTTCTTTGATTTCTAAGTTACCCAAATCACGTGACTCCACCATCTCCTGCATGGATCGCCTGAAGTCTACGTAGGGGTCGGGGGAGTAGGTCTGAACGGGTACTCCCCCGGCCACCCGTGCTGTAGGGGAGGAAGCGGAGGAGTCCTCTGCTTCTGCTTCCGCTTCCTCCCCTACTGGAGAGGAGAATAAATTTGATGAGGAGAGAGAAAGAGAGTCGACAATCGAGTTTGATCGACCAGGGGATGAAATGAAAAACCTACGAGAGGCGTATGCGGCGGTTAGGTCCGGAGTAGAAGGACCTACCGCCGCAGTATTATTATTATTATTAGTAGTAGTAGAGATGTTGTAGTCCTCCGTCTCCATGTAGTCAGTGGAGACGGAGGACGGAGAGGCGGAGACGTAGGAGGTGGTGGTGATGGGAGGAGGGACGGAGTCGAAATCTTCGTAAAGGGAGTTGTAATTAGTGTTTAAGGGGTGGGGGTGTTGTGGGCGTTTGAGTAAGGAGAGACATAAGTTGAGGTTTTTGCCTAGTGTGTTTGGCATAGCTTAGTGAGGTTGTGTTTGAGTTGAGTTGAGTTGAATTTCTCTCACTAGAAATTGAGTTAAGTGAGAAGTACAAAGTTAAAGTGTGGGTTGTAGAGAGAGGTGATCGTGTGTGAGCTGTATTTAAGGGTGTTGGTAGTAAGAAGAGAGAGAGAGAGAGAGAGAGAGAGAGAGAGAGAGAGAGAGAGAGAGAGAGGAAAGTGAGGTGGGGTGAGGCTTAATTATTAGATGAACAAGGTCTCTACTCTAAATCAATTGTGTTCGATCATATAGTAATTATCAAACATGTAGGACAACGTTTTTTTTAATTATATTTCTATAGGGTTGATATTTTAATAAGAAAGAAATCGGTCATTGATTTGATCAAAATATTTATGATAGATTAATCTTACTAATAAATTATGTCAGACCGTTTTTTATAAGGGTTTATCTTAAGAATACTAATTTTATTACTGTATTATTTTTGGTGTTGTGCGAAATTAATAAAGAAGTTACTCAAAGTAATTTAATGTACTGATTTAATCTGTTTAGAAATTTTCGTTGAGTAGTGAGGTGGTGAGAAGTCGATGACAATATGATTTTCTGATATCCATCAATAATACTCCCTTTGTTCATGATTGAATAATGGGGAGAAGATACAAAAGAGACAATTATAAGTGGAAAGAGTATGATTTTTCTTCATTCATGCCCTCTTTTCTCAATCAAGAAAACACTTGAATTTTATTTGTGGAGTATATTGTAAATTTATTATAGAAATGGGTAATAAGTTGAGCTTGAGGACTAATATTTCAGTTTGCCATATCTTGCGGTGGTTAGTGGAGAAAATATGGGCCCAAAATTCCATTCAAAGTGGAGTTTGTAATCTCCAATTTTCCATTCCATTTATTGATTTTCATCCAAAGTGGAGTTGTGCTAATTATTTGTGTGGACTATTGTCTTTGTCAACACCAATTGCACGTTACACTGCAACAATTTCTTACATCACGAAATGACCCTAATCTAGGAATCTAATTAACCATATTTAAAAATAATATCGTTGTTAGTAACTCCCCCACCTCACTCAAAAGAGGTTATTAGAGAGCTACAAGCGAAATTAATAATGTTTTAAGATATAATTTGTATAATTCTAAATCTTAGGTATCACCATAAACTTAGGGCCTATTCTCATCCCTATTCTGATTAACTAAATTGAACTGAATTAAATATTTTAAGAGAGAAAGAAATTAAGAACTGAATTAAAATTAAAATAATATGAAGAGAACAAGTTCTTAGTTAATTTCATATTCATCGTGTTTTTGATTGGCTTGGTGACTCGTTTAACTTGAATAATCATGCAATGACCTCACGAGTCACGACCTGTTAGTAAGTTGTCTATGGTCATAAAATATCTACAATCATTATCATCATTTCCCATATTGTAATTTCACTATTCACTTTCTTTTCTAATACGGTAAGATCATGTATTTTTACCATTTTCTCAATTCAAAGCAACTTTTTATTTTTGATTCACTTTGAATCTTCAATCATTATACACTACGAAGTATTTGATATATGAGATGAATAGGTGGTATTATAGCTTAGGTAGGAGTAATCGATTTACAATATAATGACGTATAAAAGTTAATTTTATGTATCTTCTTGAAATCCATTATTTCCTTTTTAAACTTTTAGCTTTCACCTAAATGAGAATTGAACCTTCTACACTACCGCAAAGCAGAAAGAAATAGATGTATATACAGAAATATGTATCTTCATGATTCTAATAAATAGACATATTGATTGTTTAATTGCTTCTACCATACATGCCTTTTATATTAAAGTATCAGCCCACCTAATCATATAATAAACTTAATGCTAATCGCTAATTTAAGAGAAAATAGTTCACACTTCACAGTACACACCAACTCACCTAAAGATTACAATGCAACTAACGTTGCATATTTTGATCAATTTGACAAAAACAACTGATAATTTACCTTCAACTACGTATTTTCCATTTATGACCTATTCACTTAGCTACAAGTTACTATCATTACAACAACTTGTGTTCAAATCAGATATATTTATGATTGTTTACTACTCTATACGACTATACCAGATTTTAAATAAAGTTCCTAAAATATGCACAGCAATATAGTAAATTGAATAAGCAAGCCAACTTATTTTCTAAATTTAGCTTAGACAATAGCTTAAATTGGACGTAAAAAATATGCAAGGATATCATATGTATTAATTGTTAATTAGAGAAAACAAAAAAAGAAGACGTTTTAACGTACTACGGATTACATAATATACTATCTCTATTTCTTTTTATATCTACCGCTAGTTATATATGTTAATAAATATTACAAAGTATAAAATTTTGATATTTTTGAAGTAATTACTTATTAAGATCTTATATATTGAGATTATTTAGAGTATTCTCTCAAATCGTGAAACATTACAAGATTTGTAACAAAATTAAAATGAAATAATGGAAAATGTAGTATTAATTATATGAGTAACAAATTAACGAAGGTATAAAAAATGGAGCACATGGTGGGGAGAGTCCAAATAGGTCCACATTTTATTAACTTGTACATATATATTTCCAACTAACATGGTTTACAATCAATTCATCGATCACAACTAATTAAAAGCGCCAGTAGTTTAGATAATCCTATTGCAACTATCACGATCATGATTTGTGGCCTTCCTTCTATCACAAATGTTGGGAGTACTAATATAATTATTTTAAATATAATAAAGAACGTTAAATGTGAGTTTTCCTAAATCCTAGATTTTTTTTTTCTTACGGAGTAACGATTCTGTCAATAGCTTACTTTGATGTGCATTTTCAATCGAAAATGCGTTATGGATACATATCCAGTTCATTAGTACGAGTACAATGATGTACTCTATTTTAATTAAGACCATAATTGGTGTAATTCTATAATCCCTTAATTAATTTGTTCATTATATAAAGTTTTGGAAACAACCGTTTTAATAATGATGTGATGAATTAGCTTTCACTTTTTCTTGATTAATTAGTAGGTGTTTTCAATTTCGTTTGTAAGTTTTTCTTCTTCTTTAAACTTAAACTTCACAATCTACAAGGTCACTTTCAATGTCCTAGAAGAATTCGGGTTTTTATGAGTATTACTTTCTAATGGTCACAATTTTCTCTAGAAAAGCTAATAATGTGAATAATAACCTTTTGAAATAACACTTGAAAATCGTAAAAAGTTAAGAAATCATCAAAATATAAACACTAATAACACTGATTTACGCGTATTTTTGTCATGAATTTCTCATTTTATACAATTTTCAAGAGTATATTTAATGCCCTTAGGGCTACATATAACATTACCCTTAAAATAAAGATGGGAGTTTGCTGATACTAATTAATGTTATAACTTTTAACAAACATAATCTAATTTTAAATTCATCGCTATAAATGTTGTAAGGGTCCACTTCTAGGAATAAGGATTATGAGTAACTTGCTACGGAGTAATGCACTTGATAACTTTGCCCTTGAAATTTTGGGGATAGGATTTGTACACAATACAAGTTCTAAAATTTAAAATTTCTTGTTCTATTGTTAATTAAGGTATTAATAAAAGCATGCAACAAGAATCAATTAATAACATGTTTAATTTCTAATATTTCAAAATTTAGCACACAATTATTACAGTAGTTCAGTAGTAGTCTGGTATGGGAAAATAATAAAGGCATTAATTTATTCCTATTTTCAAATGAACAAAACTGAAAAGTCCAAACTAGCTAATTAATGTTTGAAGAAAGAAATCAATTGAAATATTATAGCCGTGATCAAGAATTCAAGAGAAAATTTTTACTACTCGACTTGTTGACTTGTTTATCAATTAATCAATTAATTTTAGTTGACTTGTATGAAGAATTTAATGTCACGATCATAGTTGACTAGTGTCTTTGCAAATTAAGCTGACCTTCAAAAAAAAAAAAGGAATAAATGCACCTCTAATTCTAGGCATTTAAATCTCATCAATTATTATCTATTACTCCCTAGTGCTTAAATCCTTCCGTTCTTTATATTTACACTCCGTATTTTACTTTCTTCAATGCAAATCGTTGACTACTACGAATATATTCAATAACATTTGACCAAAAATTCTAAAAGAGGAGCAAAGGAAGTAGGTTTTTTTTTATTATCAATCGTATATGATAGGAACCACAATGGAGAAATGTACTTGATAGATGTGAGTGAGTTTTAAAGCATCTCCAAGTATTTACAAGCCCAGTTAAATAGAGTCGTATTCATATAGAGCTTAAGAATAAAGAAAGAGTTTTGAAAAATAAAAACTAATATATGTCAACTAGTTAATTATTTAGTTAAATAATATTAGCAATGATGAAATCTAAAATAACCAAAAAAAAAAAAAAAAAAAAAAAACTGGTTTAAATTGCTACCCTAAATTTGAGACTCTCTCTGCACACTATAGCACATATTTGTTTATAATATCAATGCATAAACTATGACATGTTAACATATATACCAATGTTCAATGTATTAGCTAATTAAAGTCCTAATCGGTTCTAAAAACTTGTGTATTGTTTTGAAAAGTGACAATGAGGACATCATGCAAGACAAATTTGGACAAACAAAATAGTTTAATAACTAATTGAACGTACCCTTTTTGCGTGACTGATGAATATGGTCCAAAATGCAAGAATTGATGAAGTACATTTGTATGATTGTCCTCCAAACTCGAATTGTCTATATCGTTATAACAACTATTACGAACATTAGATTAAAAACCATTCATTTTAACGTAAAAGTTAATCAAAATATATATATATAGTAGCATATGCATGCAATAAGATAATAATAATGTACAATATATATATATGTTGTATAAATTACTGTTATGATGTAATTCAGGTGGGACTATCTTATCCCATGCACATGAAGGTTCCTGCATGGGGTTAGCTAAGCAACAATATAAAGGTACCAAAACGCACCCTATATTATTTATTTATTTATGCATGTAAAAGCTACTTTAGTTTATAATTATTATTTTTTTCCAAATATAAAGCCAAAATTTTTGTCCAATGTCATCTGATTGGACACTGGTCTAGTAATAATAATCCAAACATATGGGATGTTTGAGTGATTTGAAAATTTTGAACCTTATCAAATACTAC